ATAACTCCCATAACAACAGAGATTGCCCATTTCTCTTCCATTATTCCTTTATTTTCTTGGTGTGCAGAATCCTTGTTTTCTTTGATGCCTATAACCAGTGTCCAGGAACAGTAAAAATAAAGATATTGTATGATTATGATAATAATTCTCATCAGCAAGGTTGGCTTCCTCAATGCTTATTTAAAGTTTCCTGTAGACTTTTTCTTCAAAACTTGTAGTTTTATGTGTGTGTGTGTTAGATGTCTTTTTGCTTTGGTAGTTTTGTGCCTGTCTCTCTTTTTTTCTATTTATAGACATCAATACTGTTTTTCATATGAAAATAATTTTGTTTTCATGATTCTCTAAGTGTTTTTTAGTTATTAGCTGTATGTTTATCTGAATCTGTGAATCTTAGGTTTTTTTTTTTTGTTGTTCTATCATCTTGTGCCTGATGACTTCAGAGATGCAGGGTATCCATGCAGGATAGATGGTCTGGCAATCCGTCTTTTGATGTAAAACAGCCTCATTCTTAATGATTGTGGTGACAGGTTAGATTTTATGAAGCATGGTCTCTCTATGTACTAATGTCTCTTGGCTTTGATGTTGTGTTGCTCATGGCCATGGCGAGAATCACACAATCTTTCTTTCGGCCTCAGCTCCTGACTGCTGGATTTACAAGTGTGAATCTGCACATACACCTGCAGGATCTTTAAAGTCCTTTAATAAACATCTTTTCAGCTCTTAACAAAGTTTATATTCTACTTGCCATTTGTTCATGCAATTTTTTTTCTATAACTTCTAACCACCATTACCAATAGTTCAAAGTTAAGGATTCTGAGCTTTTTCATGAACCGGACCATTAGTATGCTGATAGTCTTTATTTATAGTGTTGCACTGTTAGCCTTTGATTTGACACTCCATTTCACAAACATGCATCCTAATCCCAAAGAGGGTGTAATGAAAATCAGCAAATAATTCCGGTGAAAGACATCTGGGTCTTCTCTAGTGAAATCACTTTGATGTCTCTAACCTTCTGATAGGTTGACAACACCCAGGACAGTGATTTTTCCCAGAGTGAAACTTTAACATGATTATTTGAATGTGCAGAATCCAGAATTTCACTCAAGCATAAAGAATACTTATTTTTCCTGTTGTGGCCACTAGAAAAGTCTTAATTCTCCCAAGGCTTGGCAACTGCAGACCGAGCCCTGAGCCTCTGTCTCCTCCTGATTTATATTCCCATTTATTGCTGGGTTTAAAGGTATATGATACCACTGCCTGGCCTCTATTGGCCTAATTTTACTCTTTGATCTTCAGATAAGCTTTATTTATTAAAGCATAAATAGAATATCACTATATATGCACATTCATAAATGTGTAACAAATATAATCAAAGAAAAGAGTGTATCAATTTGAGAGTGGGTGTCAGGAGAAGGGTCTGAGAGAGGGTAGCTCAGGGACAGGCTGTAGGAAAGAAAGGTATTAGGGAAGGCACATAATTCTATTTTAATTAAAAGCTTAAAAACAATTTAAAAAGAGATTATTTATTTTTCATTTGATCTTAGGCAAAAGACCAAGAAGATAGAAGGCTATTAATTATTACAATTAAATGACTTGCATTTTGTGTGTGAGTATTAATATGAAAAAAGGCTGAAGTTGATTTGGGAGGGCAGCACTGTCCAGTGTTTATGGTGTGAGAAATGAAGAAGGGGGTTATCATAAAGCTGCTTTGTTTCTTATTTCTCAGAAGAAGATTGCCTTAGTCGCTAAGAGGTTAAAAAGTATCAGGTGAGATGTGGGTGTCTATGGAGGTCTATAGTCAAGTAGCTTTTGAAAGGAAAAGATTGAACGTGATCACAGAGAACTAGAATGCCTCCCTTCTTCCATTAGGATTCTAGGTCATGACCTACTTTTGGGAGATCTTGAATGTGTGCCTCTGATCTACTCAGAATGAAGAGAAGTTTGTTATAACTCCTAGGAAAAGATATCATATTCGTGTACCCTGGGCTTCTTCTCTATGGCTTTTCCAGAGAGTGCTCACATCCAGTTCAGTGCATCTGACTGTTTCAGGTTCTAAATACTAATGGAGTTTGGAAGCAGATGATATAGCAGGTCATCAGAGGATATGAAGCAAAAACAACTCTGCTTCCTTGTGCATGAGAGTGTTGGGGGAGGAGGCAGAATAAAGAGCTAAGAATAGAAAGAGATAGTTATTAACGCCATATTGCTGTTAATAAGTTCTCTTGATGAACTTATATAGTTTAGTATGAGCTAACACAGACTTTGCTTAGTGACCCATCACATTAAGAAAATGTTATTCAGGCATGTTGCTCTTAATATTAACGAATAAGTTGAATTTGAAAAAAAATATGTTTTTCCTACTTCAAAATAAGATTGCAGTGATCTTTTCCTGAACATCTGGTAGAATACCACTATCTGTTCATCACTCCCCAAACTCCCTCGTTTGTTCTGTGGTCTATGGATTATCTTTCTTGTCACATACACCTGGAAGAAGGTTCCGTTAGTACCTTTGTAAATTTAAAGTTGTATGGTGAGTAAGTATTTTGTGTTTATATTTTAAACAAAGATATATTATTTTGTTAAATAACACCCTGTCTTAGTTAGGGTTTCTATTGTTATGAAGAGACACCATGACCATGGCAACACTTGTAAAGGAAACAATTGAATTCAACTATTTAATTGGGGGCTGGCTTATGGTTTTAGAGGTTTGGTTTATTATTATCATGACAAGAAGCATGGAAGCATGCAGGCAAACATGGTGCTAGAGAAGGAGTTGAGAGTCCTATATCTGCATCCACAGGTAGCAGAAGGAGAGGCGCGTGTACTGGGTATAACTTGAGCATATATGAGACCTCAAAGCATCCCCCCGCAACACACTCACAGAATACTGCCGCAGTGACACACTTCCTTCAACAAGGCCACACCTTCTAATTGTGTCATTCCTTATGGGTCAAGCATTCAAAGACATGAGTCTATGGGGCCACTCCTATTCCAAGCCATCTCATATCCAATAAGTGTGATTTTCCAGAAAATAAATTAATAGCCAGAGAGGAAAACCAGATTTACATTTGTTCAATAATCAGGTATGAATGAGTTTTCTCTCATGCAAGTAAACTGCAGATTTTCAAACTTCTTTTTCTACACACACGCACACACACACACACACACACACACACACACACACAATTTCGGGAGGTGCTAAAATTAAAACTTAAGTCTTGATGAAACATGTTTCTTTCCAGATTGTAATCAATCATCTTGTAGAAGTCAACATATGAACTTGAATCAGCTAGTCATATCCACAATGAATAATCAAGAGAAAATGCATGCAAGTATTCTACTTGTGTTCAACCCTGTCTCTACAGGGCCCAGGGTTCCCTGCCTAGGGAATGGTGCCATCTGTAGTAGACTGATTCTACCCACATCAATTAACAATATGAAGACAATCCTCTTATGTCAAAGGAGGAATCTAGATGGTCCCTCAGTGAGAATCTGATATTGGTGATTCTAGATGGTGCTAACTTGACATTTAAAACTCACCTTCAAGTACTATTTGTAGAAATATTGTATGTGTTAGGAAGGCTAACAATGAAGATACATTTAAAAATCCAGTCAGTCCATTTGTGAGTTTACATCATGTGAAAGCTATTTGACCTCTAGATTCTCTTTGCTGGTTCTTGGTTTCAACAAACTTAACAAAGTATACCTGCAGCAATCCTGATGATTACCAACTCAAGTGGCTTTAGAGTATATGTGAGTGTAGTGTGAGCTTTGTCATATTATTTGCATGTTTTCCCAATTCTTTATGTCATTTTTTATTTATCTTTTGAAAATTCCAAACAAGTATGCAATGTATTTTGATGATACCCACCATCTCCTTCTTTCTTGTCTTCCAAGACACCTTTTCATACACATCTCCTTCCCAATCTCATGTTCCTTCACTTTTTCTAAATTTGTCGCAAAAACACAGAGCTTATATTAGTGACATGTAGCTAAGAGTTGAGAGAGGAAAGGGATTTTCAAAATATACTGCGGAGACTTTGTTGCCAGACCAGATATCTGACATCTGAAAGGAGGAGATATTTTGTTTTCTTAAATGTATATTTATTATATTATATGTGCATACATGTTTTGCTGGCATGGATATTGGTGTACCAGACAATATGTGTTCCTGGTGCCCATGGAAGTCAGTGAAGAGTGTTTTATCTTCTGGATCTGGAATTATGGATAGTTGTGCTCTACCATATAGGTACTGGAAATTGATCCTGGATACTTCTCATGAACCACAAGTATTCTTAACTTCCAGGTCATCTCTCTAACCCCAGGGGAAATTTTTTCACATTTTGTTGAGGTTCCTATATTTATGTTGATGTGATATAACATTGAGAAATCCCAGGAAGTATTCTTTAGACAGGTTGTTAAACCAAACAAAACAAAACAAAACACCAGCCAAACCAAAAAAAAACCCACAAGGAACAAAATACAGCTCCATTTATCAAGTTTGTGATTTTTACAAGGTATGGATATTAGAGTCACACAATGAGAACCATGATGCTCTATAAGCAATGTGTGTCATAATGACATGCTGTACAGCCTCTGTCTTCACTGCATGAATTTTACTCTTTGGTTAAGTATTGAGGTGGTCATTTGGTCCACAGGAACCTTTCAAAAGGATGTATATGGGAGGAAGTGTTAGTCTTTTGTCAGACTGTTTTTGTCCCTTTCCTCATGAAGTTTATCATTTAAAATGTAACATAAGCTCCTCCCTTTTCCAATTCATCTTAAGGAATGTGGATTTTAAAATACAGAGTCACCCATTTTTATTTGTAGTTTGTCAGAATGAACCTCTGACTGCAGTCAAGAGCAATTTCTGTAAATATTCTCCAATATAGCTATAGGAAAGAAACTGGAACAATTTTAGAAAATGGTGTGTTATTTACTTCATCTTTTGCTAGTCAGACTTAATAACCATGTTGCTTTTTCTTTTTTCCTCTTCTCAGATGTACATCCAGACAACAACACTCACTGTCTCCATGAGTTTAAGTGCTTCGGTGTCTCTGGGAATGCTCTATATGCCCAAAGTTTATATCATAATTTTTCATCCAGAGCAGAATGTTCAAAAACGCAAGAGAAGCTTCAAGGCTGTGGTGACAGCTGCTACCATGCAGAGCAAACTGATCCAAAAAGGAAATGACAGACCAAATGGCGAGGTGAAAAGTGAACTCTGTGAGAGTCTTGAAACCAACAGTAAGTCATCTGTAGACTTTCAGATGGTCAAGAGCGGGAGCACTTCCTAATAGATGTACGTTGAACATTCTTCTACTAGTCTTGGGAGCAATACTACCTGGTTCTGTGGGCATGATGGTACATGCACCCCAAGACTGTCACAACAGTCAGAACCATTGGATGAGGGCAAAATGTATACAAGATGAGTAATGGTTCCCAGCACACCAGCTGCCAACTTCAGCTCTTTAACAAAATATGGCAGTTAGCTCTGAGGTTGAGGTATCATAGGGCTTGGCATTTGGAATGCGATTTCATTTGCAAAATTCATATTTGAAACTTAAGAACTATACTACAAGATTTATTGCTCTGGTATTAGCTCTAATCTATCAGCAATATTTACAGAATGCACTACTCCAGATCTTGCACCAATAAATGACAAATTAGTTTGGTCTTTGGGAAAACAAGAAAAGAGTTAGTTATAATGTGTAATGGAGTCATTGTATGTACTTGGTTCCTCCATGTCCTCTCTTCTTCTTTTGACTTTGCTCAATTTCTTTCCTGAATATGATAAGCGTTGAAAGTCTCCTGACTCTTGTGGTAGAATTCTTTCTTCCACTTTCCTCAGCTACCTTTCTTTGCTCTGTAGCTGACTCAGAATCATCATATAGTAAGAGTGTACTGATATCTGGGACAGTCCATTTAACTTTACTTTATCAGCAAAGGCTTTTATTGGTATCCATATAAAAACATTAGAGAGGTTAGATATTTGTATGGTAAAGATTCAGAAAGTAGAATATGATAAAAGTTTTATTTATATTACCTGGTTACATAAACAAATTAAAGAGAAATAAATTAGAGCTAATGTCTTTACTCTAGTATGACTCTTAGTCTTTTGGGAATGCCATAGTATTAAGTTTGTAATAATTAATACAAGTGCTTTTGTTAGTGCTACATATCTGTAATCTAAGCAATTGGGTCAAGAGGATTGAGTCAAGAGAATTGTGTATTTATGACTTGGTCTATGCAACAAGAGCCCATTTCAGAAAAATAAGAATATCCAACAACAAAAATATTCCCCTCCCCCTGGAATCCTTTATCAGGCTCTATTCCCTGCTTGATATTTTTTTGATATTGTCTTTATGTTTCTATTGCTGTGATGAGACAACATGGCCATAGGAACTCTTATAAGACAACATTTAATTGTGGGCTGGCTTACAGTTTAGAGGTTTAGTACATTGTCATCAGGAGTCATGGAAGCACACAGGCAGACATGGTGTTAGAAAGGGAGCTGAGGGTTCTCTATTCTGTCGTGTAGACAGCTGGCAGAGAGAATGAGCCACTGGGCCTGACTTGAGCATCTGAAGTCTCAAAGCTTGTCCCTGCAGACACACTTTCTTCCACAAGACCACACTTCCTAATAATGGAACTCCCAATGAGTCTGTGGGGACCATTTTTATTCAAACCATCATAGATATTAAACATAAAAGAAGACTAAAGATTGGTTTTATTAGGTTTAATTACTAAAGAAATTTAGTTTCTACTGGACTGATAAAAATTCTTCTGAGGTAAAGTATCAGGATATCTATGTGAACATTGCGTATTGTAAAGTTTTAAGCATGGAGACAATCTCTGTTATAGAAGCATGTTGAATAAGCTAATTAGCTTAAGAGCTAGGGAGGTGGCAGGGTGGGTAAAACAACTTACCACCATGTCTGATAACCTCAAGTATATCCTGGGACCCAGACTGTTGAAGGAGAAAAGCTTTTCCCACAACTTGTCCTCTGATTTACACACACACACACACACACACACACACACACACACACACACACAAATAAATGTTAAAACAAAACAAAACAAAACAAAAAACCTTAATGGCTTAACCCATCATTTAAATCTGTCTTGACTTTTGCAAGATTCTCTAATAAAAATCTCAGTCATCAGTATAGAAACACTTCCTACACAGACAGCATCCTGTCAAAGAGCAGCCTTGAGAACCTTGCAAGAGCAAACAGCAAGAAGGATGCTAGTAACAAATGCCTATCATCGGCTTCCATGATAGATCAACGATTTAACAAAGGCAGAGACATTAGCAAAATGCTGCTGATTTAGGGACAGAATTTATCTGTTTTCCAACTTGAAAGCATGGGTATGGGGATGTAAAACCCAGGCAGATGCCAGCAAGCTGCTGCTGGCACAGCACTCTGCACTTTTAATGTTGGCACTGGGAACATGACTCACCAGAGTCTGATGCTCTACCTGTATTGTGACAGTCCAGAAAAGGACATAATGGGGTTTCAAATGGGAACAACTAACATTTGGGTGGAATAAACAGCAATCATCCAGGCCCACCTAAGGATATGATGGGAGGAAAAAGCAATAGCCCTTTCCAATCTCTTGAAGAACAGTTTCCCTTTAAAGTAAAATTCCTATTGTCAATAAGCACTAGTCTTGTATTGTTAAATAAGTCTCCAAGACTGGTTATTTTCCTTGTTATTTTCTATGAATGCTGAAATGGAAATTATGTAACCTACATACATTTCTCTGATTTCTCTAAAGTAAGAAAGATTATAAACATTGAGGCTCTTGGGGGGTGATCTTATTGTACTCTGGAAAAGTTGAAGTTTGCATGTGGAAGGTAAAGGAAAGCAGAAATGATGGATTAAGATAATTCAAATTACTGACTGGATGAAGGTTTGGGATGTGGTTAATATAAATTAAAAAGGAACAACTATTATTTTAATACACACCTTCTTCATTTTAGTATAGAGAGAATCTTGATAACTTTAGCTACTAATCTGTTGCTGAAATTTTTGATTCTGACTAAATAGTGATATATATATATATATGTATATATAATATACATACACACATATATGTATATATCCATCATACATATATATGCAATGTACTACAGCTTCATGTGTTCAGAAAGCTCATTTAAGGTTTATTTTTAATATGTATAGATATATGTGCATGTGTTTGTATATGGATATGTATGTATGTGTGTGTAAGTGAGTGCTATGTATGAGTCAGGTACCTGCAGGATCCAGAATAGAGTCTCTGAATCCCTGAAGATGAAGTCACAGATGGTTGTGAGCTACCTGATGTGGGGTACCAGGAACCAAACTCAGGTCCTCTGGAAGTAAATGCTGTTTGTTTTTTTGGGTTTTGTTGTTGCTGTTTAACCAACTATATTGGCAGTTTATTTTGAGCAAATGTCATAAGTAACCCCATAGAACAATTGAAAGAAATGAGAAAAAGTGGTTTTTGTTGTTTTCTTATTCTTTTTATGTCAATAAATGCCAAGGAGCAGTAAATACCTGCATACATAATTCAGGAATTTGCAAGCCCAGGTTTGGCAACAGAACTGCAGGCCTCAGTCAATAGTTATACCATAATTTGTCTGTTCTATAAGTGACCAGGTCCTGTCTTGTCCATGCAGGGCTCCCCAGGTACTGCTGTCCTGTCCCTTTTCCTCTCCCCCACTCTTGTGTGGACAGACTTGTGTCCCTCAGAGTCCTTCTGTGATTATCCTGGAGCAAGAGAAATGCCCACCGTTAGGGAAAGAGCTTTTCCTGTGGACATTTTCTGATAGCTTTTACAAGCTGGAGGGTTGTGGGGGAATGTAAACAGTCAGTCTCATACCCTCATTTTGTGCCAGAGACTAACATTTCAGAAGTCCTTATAAGTAATTTGTAGAGTATGAAGCTAGAAAGCTAATTTCCTGACTTTGCACAATACTGCACTTTCCATAACAAAAGACCCTGTTGTTTCAGAACATAGAGGGGGGTGGAAAGAAAGTTTATATATACAACATTTCCACCATTACCTCTGCACCACTCGTGTTCCTTATGCTATATTTGTCCATTAGTAAAAACAGCAGTTGCCATTTCTTTAGCCTGCGAATACAGTGTGGTACACCCAAGGGAATTTGTCATTTTCCTTTTCAACAGCTTGTTTTCTACAGAACATATATACATGTATGAATATTGTCAGAACAATTCCCCTATTGGTTTATCTCTATGTCTTTATTCTATTTTTATCCATAATAATTCTGAAATAGTGATTCATGAAAGTTTTCTGACATCCAGAATCATCCTTCAGTATTGCTTTCTTTTTATTTCCTTTTATTGAAAAGAGATTTTTTTCTCCTTTAATATACTCTAATTATGGATTCCCTCTCTACTCCTCTAGCTCTTCCTCATCTCCTTTCCTATCTGGATTCATCCTCCTTTCTGTCTCTTATTAGAAAACAGGCTTTTGGAGAATAATGAGATGAAAAAATGATAGAATAAAATAAAGCATAATAATATAAAACAAAACTAAAATATTGCAATTGAACAAAACCAACAGAAAGAAAAGAGACTAGTAAAAGACACAAGAGCTCACTCATTTTCACATTCAGAAATCCCTCAGAAATGCTAAACTGAAAGCCATTATGTATTTGCAAAAGACCTATAACACAAAAAGAGAGGGGGATATATAGATATATTTCCATATATATACTTGCCTAGGGGCCTAGGGTAAAACTAAATAATGCTGTCTAAAAGAAAAGTACTGATAAAATCAATAAAATGACTCTTAACGACATTCTTTTATACTGATAGATCAGTAGTCATTTAGCCACCAACAGAGATGATTCCTCCTTCTGCAGTTGACAGCAAACGCAGAAATCCACAGTCAGAGATTACACAGAAAGGTAGAGACCCTGGGATCCTTAGCTCTAAATGGGATGTCTCCATCAAATATTTCTCCCTTAGAGTTCAGGGAATCACAGGAATAGGCTGTGGAAAGAGTGGAAGGGCCAGAGGAGATGAGAGCAAGGCCCTTTAAATCAACATGATCAGTGTACATGTGAATTCACAGAGACTGAGGCAGTGTGCGTAGAGCCGACACAGGCCTGCACCAGGAGGAACCCGGAGGAACCAGGAGGAACCAGGAGGAACCCTAGAGCTGAAAGGGGGTATGGACACATGCCCCCAAGCTTAACCCAGATGCTTTCTCCAATGATAATCACTTGTAAATGAAAATTCAGTTTCCACCAAAGGAGTCTCACTGGTGAAACAAACTGCTCTTAAGTTTGGGCATATGCCCAGCAATAGATAGCCAAGGGAAGATAAACTCAGTGTCATCTTTAGACATTGCTTGTCTCATAAGGCCATGCAAGGGTTTTTCCTTTTTCAAAAAATTCTTTGTTTTTATTTCTATTGTTGCTTTCATATTGACTAAAGTATCTGTTTCCAGAACTTTAATTTCCTTTATTCCGGGCAGTGGAAAGTTAACATTGTTTCTCTGTGAATCATAATCTCTGTCTTGGCCCGGGACCAGCCCAGACCTAAATTATTTCTCATACCAGAGTGAAGTTGTGGGGATAAAAACATAACTCACACGAATATATCAGGAGGGAGTTTTAAGGGATCCTTCCTGAAATCCTGAGTTCACATCCTGAAAATCACCTGTGCTTTTCTCCAAACAACTTTTATATCAAAACGTAAACTGAGAGGGAAGTTCATTGGCAATCTGTTTTCTAGGTAGCGGGGAGAATGTTTTGGGTCATGTCCACACCTATCTATGCCCATTTTGTCATATCTTTCCATTTATGCCTGCTCTGTCACATAGACTGAAAAGCATCTCTTCCCCAGGGGACCTCCTAAACTTCAACAGAAGGAATAGAATGACATTAATGTGTCCTGACCATTTGCTTAGAATGACTTCATGTTATCTCACTATCAAAAGCTAGGCGACCACCTACCTTCTGTGTGAAAGGTGAAAACTCTGCCTTGCCAGGTTGCTCAGAAATTTGACTGCCAAACAATGTAGGAATATTGGCCGGTACAAATCTCAAAATGAGACTCCACATGGTTGTATATTATTTTTCCCCTAGAAATTGCTTTTAATGCTTTGGTTCCAAATCTTGTTCAAAAACACTTGGAAGAATGAAGTATGGGTTCTTGATTTGTGATAAACCCTCTAGGTTACAATAACTTTTAAAGGCTATCTGGTCCCTGTCACTGCATGCTGAATAACATCTTTAGAAAGTCATACTGTTTCAGGTTATTTTTTCTGTTACAGCTCTAATCACCCCCCCCCCCCGCTTTTAAATTTCAATTAAAGTTTTATTACTTAGTTGCCCTCCTTCCTCCCTCCAAGTCTCCCCTATATTCTTCTTGCTTTCTCCCGTCCCATGATCTCATTTTAAATCTTTTATGTTAGTCGTATGTGTGTATTTCCCGGAGTGATACTTTCATGTTGCATAACCAGTTGGTGAGCTCCTTCCTGGGGAGGATTATTTCTCCTGTTTCCAGAATCCCTTAATTGCCTGCTTTCTTTACCTAGGACTGTGTCCTGGTGAGATTCACCTTTCCACTTTAGCATGTCTGATGGTATCTTTTCCTTTTTCCAGTCTTCACATTTAACAAAACTTTCCTACACTTTCAGACTTTTCTGACAATGCTGAACAGTGCAGGAAATTCCGTGACCCTTTTGCTGTCAGTTTTCTAACTTACGGTCCATGTTCTTCCTCTCAGCTACAAGTGATTAATGAAAAATCTATCAAAACCACAAAAATGTATAGAATTTGTTTACTTAGAGAAATTTAGAAGCAAAAATGCATTATATGAATTAAAACATGAGAATTAAACCAATATAAGTATACCAATATAAAAATGATTATATCTCACTTTTCTTGAAAAAATAAAGATAAATACAGTAGCCAACTTACATATTGGAAAGAGGTCTATTCTCTATCAAAGAGATCAGAGAAGGACAAAGGATGACTCAGTCACTAAATGCTTGCCACAGACCCAGGAAAACCTTGGCCAGATCCATGATCCTCATATAAAGATCTGGACATGGTACTATTTTGTAATCCAAGCACTGGAAAAGCAGAGACAGGTAATTTTCTGAATTTACTGACTGGTTGAGCCTAGCTTAATCCGTAGTCCCCATTTTGAGGAAGACCCTCTGTCTCAAAGAACAAGATGGATGGCTTCACGGAATGACATCTGAGATGGGGTGCAGCCTCCACCTGCGTGTCTATATGTAGACACGAACACACTCAGAGACATGTGCACACAGTCATGTGCACAGATACACCATAGGGACACATCCAAATTCACACTCAGAGGAATACGTACAGGGGCACACATACAGGGTCAAACATACCACAGGCACACACGAAGGACACACACACACTCACACGTGCGTGTGCAAGGCAGAGAAAGGAGACTACAGTGTTTCTCCCAAAGTAATAATAATTCTCTCTCAAATAGTCTCTCTTTCTATTCTTACAACATGCTGTAGCTATAATTAATAGTGAGGGTAATGAACCTGGATCTGCTTTATTGTTATTCACTTTGTAGAAATAGAATGTAATGTATAGCTGTAGTCAAGTCCACTTTTCTCCACTCTTCCATAATAATAATCGAGAATGATCAGTGAAGATAGCATAAATTCATAAGAATGACATATTTTGAATATGTACTTGATATTATTCAAATTAATAAGAGTTATTAAAGTCAAATATAATTAGTACTTTCTTAACTGTATTAACTTTAGTGATAGAATCAGCATGGCTTTGTCTATAAGCTGGAGGTCTATCACAGGTGTTCTGCATTATGGAGAGATAAGTCTGATTATCAAGTATGTCCAAAGAACAGCTTCACAATTTCTAGCAGTGCCCAAAGGACACAACTATGATACATTATTTAAAAAATATTTCAGTCTAAATGAAATTAATACATTGAAATTCATGCTCAGGGTTTTAAATATAACTGAATATTTAACTTAAAGTAGGTAACAGTTTTGAACATTTTTACACAATAAATGTTTGAATTGTGCAATTATTTGTATTTTTTATTCACTGGAAGCGTCAGCATGAGTGCAAATTTAAGAGACTGTTTTGTTATTCATATATCTAGTAGTCTTACATCAATTTGTGTTGTTTCATAGTAAGTTGGTAGTGGAAGAATTAAATGTTAATGTCACACTTTGAGACTTTATTTCCATGTATACTCTAGTTATATTTTTCTTTGAAGAGCTACAAACATCTTTTGACTTTGTCACTATTTTGTTAATAATTGTGTGTACTTGAGATTTTGGTTTGTTAATTTCTAGACTCTTAGATTATTATTAATTTTTAAATGGAAGAAATACATTGTCAAGGTACATCTAATTATAATCATTTGGTTACAGGATTGGCTAAAGTGATTAAAATCTTTGATTTTTGTCTGGTAGATTTTTTTTAAAAGATTGTGGGATGTTGGTGTGTTCTTTCTTTTTATGTTTATGAAAATTTGATCTGTTAAGGTAACATAAAAATGAGTTTTCACCGAAGTTTTCTAAAGATTAGCAGTTTCTGTGTTCACTATTCTGCTAACTATCCGTACACTGGACTGGGGGCTTTTGTGGATTAACAATTTGGTTGAATTTCTCATTGGATTTCCACAGTATGCCTTAAAATCCTAAGTAACATGTTGCAAAACATTATCATCAGACAGCCCCAGCAGAATTTGGATTTTGAAATCATATAAGCAAAATAGTTATTAGGCACTATTAACTTGTCCTACTTTTTTTTTAACAGCGTCCTCTACCAAGACAACATATATCAGCTACAGCAATCATTCAATCTGAATAGGGAGATGACCCCATCCGAAGAAAGGTGGTGTGTGTTCTTAAATATCGAACATGAGACTGCAAAATGTCACTTCTGGAGATCTCCCTGGACTACAAGCAATCAGATCAATAGTCTTGTAAGGCACAAAATTAGCCATGAGCCAAAAGTATCAATAATGAGGAGCAAAGAAACCCATTTTATACAATACAACCAATGAGTGTCAAGCTAAACTATTGCTTACTTGTGAGCATTAAAAAAAAAAATTCAAAAGGAAAACTAATGTTACCTTGTGAAAAAAAATGCTGTTGAAATAAACCATGTCCGATGTTATTCTTGTAAGTATTTTTCCGTGATTGTGAGAACTCCTGTTCCTGTCCCACACTGTTCAACTTGTATAAGACTCTGAGTCTGTTTCTTGTAATGGCTGACCGGATTGAAGCCCTGGGTTGTGCTACAAAATAAATGCAATGATTGACGCATGCAATTTTTATACAAATAATTTATTTCTAATAATAAAGGAATGTTTTGCAAATGTTGAGCGTTGTTTCGTTCCAGTTTTGAAAACAGGGTAATCTCCTCTTTCCAGTTGGCACTTCTGTTGTTCTTAGGTCTTTGCCTTACCCCACGTTGATTCTACATCCTTCAGGACATGGTTTTGAATTGTGTTTATGAGGAGAATTTTATTGCTCTCCCAAAAGATATCACTTATATAAAATTTGTAAATACTTTTGATTCCTGTAATAGATTTTCATAACATCTATCCTATTAAGAATCAAGTTGTAGCTTAGTATAAACTTCTTTAGGTTGTTATAGTTGACAGATGGTGAGTTAAACTTTACTTTGGTGAATATATCATAAAAATTGTCACAGAAAAATGTATCACCATCTGACCAAATTGCTCCATATTATTTCTGACTCAAAACTTTTGCATACTGAAATATTCCTTGCTATGTGATGTTAGCCATCTTTCACCTGGGCCTAACAGTCACTGAAATCAGTAATGGACCTTACCCAGGTCATTCTTCAAAACTCTTAATTAGCACATTTATTCCCGTGGCATCATTTAAGAAACCACAGTTCAGATAACCTGTAAATGAATTCTTATTTTCCAAATGAAAATATTCATTGCTTCATAAAACAGAATCATTAAAGAGAGAGAAAACAGTAGCTTGTCTGGAGCTAATAAACCATGCTGGGGCAGATAAGGGGAGTCTGTTAACAGCTGCCAAATCTGTGACCAGTTTTGTCCTGGGTTCCTCTATTACACACAATTCCAGACATTCATCAAATCAATGGGTCCTTACAATCATTTTGTTAGTAAATGTTCTCTATGCTGAGTTAGCTTAGGCGGCTCATTGCTTTCCATATAGACACACAACGCTATCTCTGTAGCTTTAGTGCAGACATTAGCAGTCACTTTATTTCATTCATAAGGTTCATGTAGTCTCTTTTTATATATAGAATCATTTTCTAGATCCCCAAGAAGGAAGACAGCAATAGACAGCACAAAATGCCTGTTGATTGGCTTTCTGTTGAGTTTCCCCAAATAATATTTCTTCTTTGCAGATAACATTTTAATAAAAAAAAGCATCATTCTTAAGTATCTGAACTAAGGGAAATATAGTTTTATAGTCTAATTTTGAAACTCATTTCTGGGTGTGATTTTTGGAAGAAACCTGAACTGGGAAAAATAAAACCAACACTGTATTTATTTATTTATTTATTTATTTATTTATTTATTTATTTATGTGCCATGTGGCTCAGGACTGTTAGAGATGCCAAGATTTTTATCTTAATTTGGTCAGTTGCTTCATATTGAAGATTTTGATGATGCATTAAATATGTTGACTCTATTTTAGCTAAATATCCATGTTTAATTAGGAAAAATGGTTGAATTGAATAATTCTTGCATTTCATTCACAGGGGAAAAAAAAAACCAAGTACGTTTCACTATTGATTACCACTGATCAGGGAAGGCAGGCATAAAAAGATGACAGAAAGTAAAGCTATCTCACAGGACAATTCAAAGAGTTATTATTGTTGCTTTAAAATGTTAATGTTTTACAAAATATGAAGTATGATTTCTGCCAATTCAAAATTGTATTATAAATTTACAATGGGTTGTTTTACTTAAGTATATTTTTTATAAATAAGTAAATAAGTACCTGAGACTTATTTGGTTTTATAGAATGTTGATTGAACTATTAGTACTGTGTATAGTGGTTCTAACGAATTTGTATATACCTATCGACTTCTCTAACATTGCACCATTGGAAAAGGGCCTCCTGCAAGACACTCTCATGCTCCCTGGCAGAGGGCAGAAAATCCCAACAACCTTCTTACAGTAGAAAGTAGAGCACTCTGCCCTCTACTGTGGTGATTTTTCTTAAGACTGGGACAACGGTTGCATCCTGTGAGCAGGATTTAGCATGTGTTTGGTAGTAGTCCAGGAGACCTGTGATTTGAAATGAACTGCCTGTGTCCCATAGATAAGCAAATGCAAAGTTGCACAAAAAAATACAGTATTATATTCTTTAGAATTGACCTTGTGTTTTATTCTGGAAAGAAATGTCACATCTAATCTCAGCATGCCAGAGGGAATGCTAAAAATGTAACTTCAAGTAATATTCAGCAAATGTCACTTGTAGACAATGAGAGATGTATTAGTGTGACCTTGGGCCATGTCTGACCTGAGTTTAAGAAAAATTAGCTTATGATAGAGAATACTAGAAGTTTAAATCAATGACAGTATGCCACAAACTAATTATATATTTTAAGTAATTTAAACTTGAGGATAACCATTAAGATATGAATAGGGATGGCAGACTAAATTAATTTGTTGCATTTTGAAAACTCTTTACAAAAATTAACATTCAAAATTAACAATATTTTACTTTATTTTTCTCTCAGTTACAATAGTATAAAATACGTAACCATGAATAGAAGTTTTGTTAGATTTTTTTTCCTGCCTTTAACTCAGTATTCTGCATATTTACCAATACTTTTTCACACTGAAAAGAATAACAATTTTATGAACATTGTTATCTAACATTTATGTTTTATTCAGACTGTGGGTAGAGGTGACATTTTAAGATTCTGTTATGCAATCATCATTTTTCTCATTTAGTTTCTTGAATTGTATTTAATATCAGTGTTTTCATCCATTTTCTAGAATGAGATGACCAAAGGGAACAATGAGGTTGCAAGAGAGGATGAATGAGAAGTGATTCCTAATGATCTCATCTTTTAGTCCTGAAGAGTGATCATCAGAAGGGCTTCTAGTTGCCTCTGTGGCTGTCACTTAATGACAATAAGAGTAATGAAAGGAAAACGGAGCTCATTCAGAAGATACGACACCTTCAGAAGAGACTCACATCTAGTAATGCTCAGAAACTGGCTGACTGACACTTTGAAGGGTCCTATTACTGGGATAAAGAGAAAGCACAGCTTATAATTTGATTTTAAAATACACCCAATGCTGTATTACTGGATTTATTTTTTTCTGCAGCATACTCTTCAATGGTGGTCTAACTTCACTTTTGCATATTTTTCCTCTTCTTTACTCTATAAGTCATTCAGAACTTTTCTCTATTTTAGTCTCAGCTTATTAATAATATAAAGTCTTGCTCCAAATTTGAATTACATTTCTGCTTTCAAAAACAATAAAGAACCAAACCAAAAAATAAAATAAAAAACCCACAAAACTCAAATTTTTTTTTGTGTTTGCCTACTGATAAGTGCTTTAAGAAAAGCTGACTCTGCTAATATGATTTATATTTTTTAGTCTTTATTATTTTGCTTGTTTTTGAGATTATAATCTAATTACATCAATTTCTCCTTTCCTTTCTTATCTCCAAACTTTCCCATATACCACTCGCTTTTCTCTTTCAAATTCATGCCCCTAAAGATGCCAAACATGAGATAATTTGTTACTTGTCCGTGAGTTCTTCTACCTGTCATTAATGATTAAGGAACTTCCTTAATCAAGAAAAGCAAAGCCTTTTTTAGGGTCTTACCTTGTAGGCAGAAGAAACAAGAATGAAGACTGATTCCTAGTCAAAAGTGAATACTTTACAACCCACCTTTCCTCCTCACCTTGACTCTGCAGAACAGGATAAAAATGGTGATTAGAAGTCCAAAGCTCCGTTTTCAAATTGAATTCTTTCCTGAGTGGAGGACTAGAATCTACAGAGTTCAAGAGTCCCATCGGGGATGCTTACTAATCTCCTGGGAGAAGGAAGGGGAAGCAACTAGAACATGCAGAATTACAAAGTAGATGAAATGAGGTTTATTGATTTTTGTCTCACCCTTGTTATGCTATCCAATTTTCTTGTAACACTTGCTAATATCCTCAGTGTATGTTCTAGGTTCTCAGAGATCCATAGTTCTTTCTACTGTCGTCTGCTGACTCACTAGTAGTTTAATGGTGCCAACATATCGGTTCCAAGTGATTGCTTTATACCCAATATTTCTTCATCCAATCTTCAGAGCAATATAAGGAATCATTCTAGAGGTTCTAGGGGAGACAATTGAAGCTGGATTTTAAATAACTTACTTTATTATTATTGAAATATTCTGTTCATCCATTTTGCTCAGACACAATGATGCAGACATTGTGCGGATGCTGAGAATATAGCAATGGATCAAAACTCTGTTGTGCTGTCATGACGGTTAAATTTTGGCCAAAGAGAAGAGAAAATATGATAAGCGAAAATAAGGCTAAGACAGTGATCACCACTGACAAAAACAACAGTTAAGAAGTCGCAGTGGGAAGTAGAGGGTTGGATTGGCATTTTAATTTGCCTGACCAGGAAGAGAGATATTTGAGTTGCTATCTGAAGGAATAAGTGTTTGAGATGGACAGCGTCTTAGTGAAGAGAAATTCAGGGAAGGGCAGCGAAGAGAGATGTCCTGAGGCAGAATGCCATCCAGACTGATCATTACAAGAGCAAGAGAAGATCATGTGATTTTAAGGTTTTATATACCATCGAAAAACCTGTGACTTTTACCACATTGGATGAAAATCCAGCAGAGAAAAATCCAGTTTGAGCAAAGAGATAGACGACTTGAGTCTTAATTTTAAGTGAGTTCTGCTGACTTCTATGGTAAGGAGGCATAAATTGTAAGAATACACGGGCAGAAGCAGATTTGTGTCAGAAGACTCTGAGGTGATAGGTTGGAAATGACCATCACTTGCTAGGAGGGACACTGTTGATAATGTAAAGTGGTTTAGACACTGGGATACAGTTTGGCAATAGAGTTTCCTGACTTGCTAATGAATTACAGTACTTTGAGGGGAAAGCAAGATGTCTGGTATTTTATGCATCATTGAAAAGACCACTGCAATTAATGAAGATGGGTTACACTATGGGGAGACGCGCTCCAGGCAACAGTTACTACTACAGTCTGAATGCCCATGGCCTCTTCTCTCTTAGGCTTCTCCATTTGCATTTAAAAGATGCATGAATTA